AGGTGACCTCCTCCCTGGGGGACGGACAACAGAAAAGTGGGTAAACGGAGATGTCAGACAGTGCAAGATATGACAAAATAATAATTTATAAATTATCAAGGGCTCATGAGGGAGGGGGGAGCAGGGAGGGAGGGGAAAAATGAGGATCTAATGCGGGGGGCTTAAGTGGAGAGGAAATGTTTTGAGAATGATGATGATGTGTTTTACACAATGGATGGATGGATGTATTGTGATAAGAGTTGTATGAGCCCCAACAAAATGATTTAAGAAAGAAAGAAAAAATAAATAAGTAAGTAAGTAAATAACCTCTCCTTTGTGGTAGAACTTTTACAAACCAATAAGGATTATCATTGCACAATAATGTGAACACCTGAACAAGGTAAAATGGCAACTTTTATGCTGCTAACTTCTTCCTACATTTTTAAAAACAAACAGCAAGTTTTTGACACTTAGATGAAAATTATTAGTGATTACATAGATTGATAAGTATATTGATAATAAAACTAAATTCAACTAAATATGAAAAACAAGTAGTGCATATGTGATGCATCTTATTTACCTGACATTGCCCTTGGTGTTTCTGAGAACTGTAGCCGCAAAATTCTGTGTAACACCCACCAAGCTGATTCCATCCACTTCCACAATCTGGTCATTGACTTGGATTCTTTTGAAGGAAAAATAAATAAATAAAATGTATTCACAGTTAATTTTTATGAAAATACTGTATCATGCCCAATCACTTTAAAGGATTCATCATGCATATACCCAAAGTCATATTCTTAATTGTTCTGAAAGATGGTTTTTGAGGGAGAAAATTGATATTAAATAGGCAAATTCAGTTTACCAAGTATCCATGTTTTTCTTGCAAAGAATTAATGGCTGTTAATTTATGGCATAATCTGTCATTAATACAATAAATAAAACATAACAGATCAAGTTGAGATACCTGTCAGCCTTCATTACCAGTTCCTCGTCACAAGTCTTCTTCCCAATACTATCACCAGGAACTACAGAAAATAAATCCTTCCTATTCACACTGCATGCTTTAAATATGTAATACTTATAAATATAGTAATATCGATAAACATAGGTACACAGTCATGCACCACATAACATCTGTTCAGGAAATGTATGAGTGCATAGAGGTCTATGGTTCCAATTCCCATAAAGTTTCTTATTTTAAAAATTTGAGGTATGTATAATATCTCAAATGGTTCATAATAAAAAATGAGCACTACTTTGTAATGCACATCTAAACATTATTATTGCTATACTATTATGTTAAGGATGTTTTAATGTATCTGGAAGTGAAGTGGTTCTTTAATATTTGGATGCATAGAAAGAGATAATTAAAAACTAACAAACACTTGAAGAACAATCATTAGATATAAACTATACCTAGTTGTTTCAAATTAATACAAATTGGACTAAAAGACAGATTTAGCAGGACAGGTGAGGAGATAGTCATAAAGGTCAGCGGACAGACCTGGAACTACCCTGTTTCCCCGAAAATAAGACAGTGTCGTATATTAATTTTTGCCCCCAAAGATGCGCTAGGTCTTATTTTCAGGAGATATCTTATTTTTCCATAAAGAAGAATACGGTATACATTTATTGTTTATTGGTTTATTAAGAGACCCTGTACTTCCTGTCTGCTCCGGCTGTGCTGTGGCCAACAGTGAGCTGCACGGAGGCGCCCACCGCTACAGTCCAGAGTTACAATTGCTTCGGCGGGGCTTATTTTCAGGGAGGTCTTATTTTCAGGGGGATGCCTTATATTTCAGTGAGAGGCAAAACTGTAAGTAGGTCTTATTTTCAGGTAAACAGGATATGTATGCTTTTTTTGGGGGGGTTGCAAATTAATTATGTTTAGTTTTTCCCCTATTTATTCAATCTTTTGTTTTCTTTTCGTTTTGTCTCTGTTATTGTTGCTTGCCTACCTAGATGACAGGCATGGGAAGCAAGTCCGAGGAGAAAGCAACAGGAGCAAAGGTTCTGGAGGGACTTGGGGGGAGGAACTGGGGGGAAGAGAGCAGTAAGCAACCTACTCCATAGACGGGAACAACTAGGGAATTCAAAGCAATGATGAGAAGTGCGTAGAGATACTGGGGGTGTTGAAGCAAAAGCAATCTAGCTGAGAGGAATGACTAAGAGCAGAAGAAGGGGGAGCTTGATGGTGGGACAGGAGGAAGGTGAAAGGAAACAGAGGAAGGATCTAGGAAGCAAAGCAATGGATAGAGGTATAAGCATAATGTGTACATATGTAAATACATTAATCCATAAAAATAGGGGTATTGGCCTTTGTACATATATCTATATGGCAAGACACTGAGGTAGTGGACAGACTTTGGGCCTCTGCTCGAGCTCTCCCTCAATGCAAGAACACTTTGTTCTAACAACCTGGTATTCTGTGATGATCACCCTCCTGGCACGATCACTGAAGAAAAAAATGGGTGCACAAGCAAATGTGATAAAGGCTATCAAAAATATATAGCATCTGGGATTGCAAAGGCTTGAAATCAAAGCAGCGACCATCTAGCAAGGAAGCATCAAGCCCACAAGGAAGAAGCACACCAGCCTGTGTGATCATGAAGCATCAGTGGGTTCAGGCAGCAGGTATCAGAAGACTCAAAACAAACAAACAAAACACATATTGTTGAGAACAGGGGGCTCGGAGCAGAGACCCCAAACCCATCTCTAGACAAGGGGACATCTCCTCACAGAAGGGTCAGAAGGAAGAGATGAGTCAACCAGAACACAGTATAGTTCCAATAAAACACACAATATCCCTCTGGTTCCTTGAGGCGTCCTCACTCCCACTGTTACAGCCCAGTCCTGCCTTTCTCTTCAGGCTAGACCGGAGCATGTGCAATGTACAGAGAAGAGCGCACAACACACGGAATCCAGGTCAGATAAGCCCCCCAGGAACAGAAATGGGAGTAGCGGCAGCAGAAGGGTGAGGAAAGGAGGGGAGGAAAGGGGAACCGATCGCATGAATCAACACATAACCACACACACACATAGGGGGAGGAACAACAGAAACCATGGGGGAAGGGAGACACTGGTCAGTGTAAGATATGAAAATAATGATCATTTATGGTTTATTAAGAGGTCAACAAGGGGAGGAGGAGGAAAAAAAGAGGAGCTGATACCAAGGGATCAAATAGAAAGTAAATGTTTACAAAATAAAAATGGCAACACATGTACACATATCCTTGATATAACTGATGCATGGGTTGTTATGAGAGCTCTAAGCCCCAATAAAATGATCTTTAAAAATAAATAAATAAAAGACAGATTTAGGAACAAAACTCATCTGTAATACAGAAAGTGCCTGTAAAGAATCTGTGTTCACACAACATCAAACACATATAGATCCTGTTCCACAGAATATGGAGTAGACATTAAGTGTAGCAGGACTATAGAGAGAGATACACAAGCATTCGTGTGTGCCTTAGTGTGTATATGTCTAAGAACAATATACTACAGTATTAATCTTGCTGAGTACAGAAAACTGCTAAATTCACATACATTATATTTTACATATACCATTTTATATTCTTCAAAATATGATACTTCAAACATGGAGAAAGGTAAAATGAACATGATAATAAGTAATCATGTACCTAATATTCAGTTCTACCAAATTTTAACACTGTGCAATGTTTCAATTTGAAATTTGTATAAAGAAATACATTCCAGGGAAACTACTGAAGCCTCTTGGTTATTTGCTGCTAATACTATTTCCCAGCTGTAATCATCACAGTAATTTCTGTGTTTAGTATTTCTCCTGATTTTCTGAAATAGAAATAATATACATGCATTTATAGGCTTATACGAATATATTTTCCATGCTTTCAAAATTGAGTAGTGTGTGTCTCTATCCGCAAGTGAGCCTGTTATGTTTGAGATTTATTCAAGGTCATAAAATTCTATTCTATCTTATTTTCTTATAACTGTGCAGTATCTCTTATAAAAAAACAGTGTTTTCATTAACTTACAGATGGACAACTGTGCGGTTATCAATTTCAGCTAGTATAAACACTATTACAATAAGCGATTTCATACATCACTCTCTATGCACATGAAAGTTTCTCAGAGATTTGGAATGAGTCCACCCAGAGGTGACCACACCAAAGGCCTGCAGACTTCCTCCACCAGGATCAGCCGGTGAAAGATCCGGAGGCTCAGTTCTGCGCTGACACACTTGGGTTAGCAAAAGATGGGGCTCAGTGCACGGTAACTTACCGAAGATGGACGCAAGGAGAAAAGCGTTAAACTTCTGAAATAATTCATTTTAAATAGACTCTATTTTTAAAAGCCAAACTAAAGCACGAATTGTAAAGGTCTTCCAACAACAAAAAGCAAGGGTGAAGGTTGAATCAACCAAAAGAAAGGACAGTCATGGTCATATTTTCATTAAGTGAAATGATGAAAAGGCACGTCTAATCAGGTAAGAACTTTTGGGAGGGTAGGAATTTTAAGGAAAGGCAACGTTCTAAGAAGAGTTAGAAAAGTGGCTGAATAGGGACTAGAAATTTTTGAAGGCAATTTTTGAAAAAGCTACTCTGGATAATAGACTACGAATAAATCTTTGGAAGGACAGAAAAATACAGGTTTTTAACGTTATCGAGAGACAGATTGAGCCGAGGTAAAAGGAAACTAGAGTGATGAGTGCTTCCGTGCCTAAAGGTAAAGAAAGAACTTCCAGCAAGGTGAAAAAGTTTCTGAAAATAGGTATTCTTGCCCAGTGTGATTTAGATAAGAGGAGGTAAAATAACTGAAATTTAAGAAACATTTCAGAAAAAAACTATATAGCAAAAATGCTGGAAAAACATAAGGACAGAAAATAATAAGCTTGCTTCAATTCCTCGATTCACTCAGTCAGTAATTCAGCAAGAGTACAAAGATGGAGAGTTAGAGGACACAAATTAGTGTGAGGTAGGGTCCTTGTTTTGAATAACATGCAAATGAGCATCCCTACACATATGCAGATGCATCAACACGTACTGATACACAGTCATAAAAACCTGATTAAAAATGGCAAGCTGGGACAGAAACAACGATGCCCTTTCACTGGCTCAGCAACCTGACCAGGACTGCTGTCTCCTCCCTAGAAAGGGAGGCCGGAAGCATTCAGTGTATCTAAGAAACAAGGGGAAGGCGTGCAGGGATGACAGCTCTTCTAAGAAAAAGTGAATGCAGGCCAGGAGCGGCCACAGCAGAGTCGGGCGAAACCGCTCTTTCGAAAGCTGAAGGAACAATCGCCCTCTAGGCCAGACACACCTTGGAAGCGGAGTCAGGACTTTCCACTACGCTCTTGACCTGGGTCTGTGCTACTTGGTTTTACATGAAGCTGCCTTTCGCCTACCGAGAAGACTTGCACTCAGAGTTTGACCAACAGTCTGGAAGAAGGTGCCCCCTGTGTCTAGACCTTATTCTTTTATCGATTTTTATACCTACATGCAAAAACAAAAAAAACTCTACATTGACAGCTGTGCTTGGGGAAACCTGGGCCCATCAACACTGAATTGCAAGAGGTGCAGAGGATCATGGTGGCCAAGACTGAAGAAGTGATACAGCGGGAGAAGCACTCTCAGCATGGGATTCAAAGGCTAACAATTCGTCCAGTCTGCCTAAGACATACCGCCAGGCTGTGAAGAA